CGATTGGGAAATGCTCAGTTGGAAAAGGCGGTGTTGATGTAGTGTCCAGGAGTGTGTCTCGGCTAGTGGAAGCTAACCGTTAGCGTTAGCAACTCCACAATGTGGAGATAAAACATCAACATTGTTTTTTTTAACTCAAGAAAGGAGGAGCAAATGGAAGTAGAAGAAAAGTTGTTTCTGTTAGCCAATCAGACGAGAGATGTTTGCATATCATGAATATTAGTGGTCAAGACTCCAAATACTTCCCTTTAGCCGCCCCCCACTTCTTTGACTAACTTCTGCTTCCAGAAACAGGAGCAGCAGAGCTTTTTTTTTTTTAAAGTAAATGACTCACAAGACATTTAATCATACTAGAGACCACAGCAGATTTCATGAAATAACAAGTGTGTCTTTCATGGCGGTTAAAACGAAGAGTCGGAGTACCCGGCCCGGAGGGTTACCGGGGTCCCACCCTGGAGCCAGGCCTGGGGTTGGGGCCCGTGAGCGAGCGCCTGGTGGCCGGGCTTTCGCCCATGGGGCCCGGCCGGGCCCAGCCCGAACCGGATACATGGGCTCGTCCAACTGTGGACCCACCACCCGCAGGAGGAACATGAAGGGTCCGGTGCAATGTGAATCGGGTGGCAGACCAAGGCGGGAGCCTTGGCGGTCCAATCCCCGGACAAGAAAACTAGTTTTTGGGACATGGAACGTCACCTCGCTGGCGGGGAAGGAGCCGGAGCTTGTGGCAGAGGTTGAGCGGTACCGGCTAGATATAGTCGGACTCACCTCGACACATAGCATTGGCTCTGGAACCCGAGAACTGGAGAGGGGTTGGACACTCTACTTTGCTGGAGTTGCTCCGGGTGAGAGGCGGAGGGCTGGGGTTGGCTTTTTGTTAGCCCCGAGACTCTCTGCCTGTGTGTTGGGGTTTACCCCGGGGGACAAAAGGGTAGCTTCCTTGCGCCTTCGGGTCGGGGAACGGGTCCTGACTGTTGTTTGTGCTTATGGGCCAAATATCAGTTCAGAGTACCCACCCTTTTTGGAGTCCCTGGGACGAGTGCTAGATAGTGCTCCATCAGGGGACTCCATTGTCCTGCTGGGGGACTTCAATGCTCACGTGGGCAATGACAGCTTGACCTGGAGGGGTGTGATTGGGAGGAACGGCCCACCTGATCAGAACTCGAGCGGTGTTTTGTTATTGGACTTCTGTGCAAGCCGCAGTTTGGCCATAACGAACACCATGTTCGAACATAAGGATGCCCACTGGTACACTTGGTACCAGGGCAGCCTAGGTCACAGGTCGATGATAGATTTTGTAGTCGTATCATCTGACCTGCGGCCGTATGTTTTGGACACCCGAGTGAAGAGAGGGGCGGAGCTGTCAACTGATCACCACCTGGTGGTGAGTTGGATCAGATGGCAAGGGAACATGCCGCGTAGACCTGGCAGACCCAAACGCATAGTGAGGGTCTGCTGGGAACGCCTGGCAGAAGAACCTGTCAAGACGGTCTTCAACTCCCACCTCCGGCAGAGCTTTGACCACGTCCCGAGAGCAGTGGGGGACATTGAGTCCGAGTGGGCCTTGTTCCACTCTGCGATTGTCGAGGCGGCTGTTGCTAGCTGTGGTCGTAAGGTGGCCGGTGCCAGTCGTGGTGGCAACCCCCGTACCCGCTGGTGGACACCAGAGGTTCGGGGAGCCGTCAGGTTGAAGAAGGAGGCCTACAGGGCGTGGCTGATCTGTGGGTCTCCGGAGGCAGCAGACAGGTACCGGATAGCCAAGCGGGGTGCAGCAGTGGCAGTTGCCGAGGCAAAATCTCGGGCGTGGGAGGAGTTTGGTGAGGCCATGGAGAAAGACTATTGATCGGCTCCAAAGAGGTTCTGGCAAACTGTCCGGCGCCTCAGGAGAGGAAGGCAGCAACTCGCTCACACTGTTTACAGTGGGGATGGGGAGCTGCTGACGTCAACTGAGGCTATAGTCGGACGGTGGAAGGAATACTTTGAGGAGCTCCTCAATCCCACCAATGCGCATTCCGAGGAGGAACCAGAGCTGGGAGGCCTGGGGATGGACTGTCCGATCTCGGGGGCAGAAGTTGCTGAGGTAGTCAAACAACTACACAGCGGCGGAGCCCTGGGGGCGGATGAGGTTCGTCCTGGGTATCTCAAGGCTATGGATGTTGTAGGGCTGTCATGGTTGACACGTCTCTACAACATTGCGTGGTCATCGGGGGCAGTTCCTAGGGAGTGGCAGACCGGGGTGGTGGTCCCCATCTTTAAGAAGGGTGACCTGAGGGTGTGTTCCAACTATAGGGGGATCACACTCCTCAGCCTCCCTGGAAAGGTCTACTCCAAGGTACTGGAGAGGAGGGTCCGATCGATAGTTGAATCTCAGATAGAGGAGGAACAATGTGGTTTTCGTCCTGGCCGTGGAACTGTGGACCAGCTCTATACCCTTGCAAGGGTGATGGAGGGGGCATGGGAGTTTGCCCAACCAATCCACATGTGCTTTGTGGATTTGGAGAAGGCTTATGACCGTGTCCCCAGGGGCACCCTGTGGGGGACGCTCCAGGAGTATGGGGTGGGTGGCTTTCTGTTAAGGGCCATTCAGTCCCTTTACCAGAGGAGCGTGAGTTTGGTCCGCATAGCCGGTAGTAAGTCGGACCTGTTCCCAGTGAGGGTTGGACTCCGCCAGGGCTGCCCTTTGTCACCGGTTCTGTTCATCACTTTTATGGACAGAATTTCTAGACGCAGCCGTGGTGTGGAGTGTGTCGAGTTTGGTGGCAGGAGAATCTCGTCTCTGCTTTTTGCGGATGATGTGGTTCTCCTAGCTTCATCCAGCTCTGACCTTCAGCTCTTGCTGGGTAGGTTCGCGGCCGAATGTGAAGCAGCTGGGATGAGGATCAGCACCTCCAAATCTGAGACCATGGTTCTCGACCGGAAAAGGGTGGCTTGCCACCTCCGGGTCGGGGGAGAGGTCCTACCTCAAGTGGAGGAGTTTAAGTATCTCGGGGTCTTGTTCACGAGTGAGGGTAGGAGGGATCGGGAGATGACAGGCGGATTGGTTCGGCGTCTGCAGTGATGCGGACGCTGAGCCGATCTGTCGTGGGGAAGAGGGAGCTGAGCCAGAAAGCCAGGCTCTCGATTTACCGGTCGATCTACGTCCCAATCCTCACCTATGGTCATGAGCTTTGGGTAATGACCGAAAGAACGAGATCGCGGATACAAGCGGCCGAAATGAGTTTCCTCCGTAGGGTGGCCGGGCTCAGCCTTAGAGATAGGGTGAGGAGCTCGGACATTCGGGAGGGACTCGGAGTAGAACCGCTGCTCCTCCGGATCGAAAGGAGCCAGTTGAGGTGGTTTGGGCATCTGGTCAGGATGCCTCCTGGACGCCTCCCCGGGGCGGTGTTTCGGGCATGTCCTGCCGGCAGAAGGCCCCCGGGTCGACCCAGGACACGTTGGAGAGGTTACATCTCCAATCTGGTCCGGGAACGCCTTGGGGTCCTGCCGGAGGAGCTGGTGGACAAGGCCGGGGAGAGGACGGCCTGGAGCTCCCTAATTGGGATGCTGCCCCCGCGACCCGGACCCGGATAAGCGGAGGAAGACGACGACAAGTGTGTGCCTCCTTTAAAGCGTATTTTACATGATGTCTGATCTGACCGTTGTTTTCCTGTGATTTCCACGTGACAACTCTCAGGAGAGAGACTTTTAGTTGACAGATGTTAAGGCATTCATTCACAGGGTTCCCGGGCTCAGCCACAGCTGCAGCCCACGGTGATGGGTCAAAAGCAGAGATGTAATTTCACCAGTGTGTGATGATGAATAATGAGACTTTATTTGTGAGACAACATTGGGAGGGTTTAGCAACCAGATAGAAAGTAAAATGAGGATGAATTGGAAACAAATCTAGACACCAAAAAGACACGTTTGGGACTGAATTTTACGTTGGTCGTTGTGTTTGACATTTAAAATGTGTGTAAATTATCTCAAAAGGAATTTTAGGACACCTAACAATTGATATAATATAATATATAATGGTTAAGCAAACATTTTTATCACACAAGGATGCACACAGCTCAAATACAGAAAAATGTGATGTAGCATCCTGATTAAAAGTAAACATTTCAGATATTCATACCTTAAAACTGCAATCACACCCCTGCCTTGAGGAATCATATTCACTGCTAGGTTTCCGTCTGCAATGTAATATCCTCTCCTGAAACAATTTTAACCTCAAACTCAGATAAAACCTTATGTGTGAAGGTTATGAACTTCAAATTGTTTAAATGTAAGAACGTATCTTGATTAACAAACCTTGGGACGTGACTTGTAAATCTCCGAACTTTATTTTATTTTTATTTAACCAGGAACACCCCATTGAGATTTAAAAGCTCTTTTAAAGGAAGACCTGACCAACTTGAAATGGGACTTTACTCAGGACTTGCATGGACTTAACACTTGATACATGACTTACTTGTGATTTGCCAAATAATGACTTATAGTAGGTCAAAACAAAGATTTCTGTCTTTTTTTTTTTACTTTCCTGGTTCGAAATTTAAACTGTCTTCACAGCAGTTCTTGTAGTTCAGCTAAATATTTGACAAAGAAATTTTCGTTTTGTCGTTTGTGAATCATTGAAATGACAAAAGTAGTTTTGCGGACTGATATGTGCAGACCCACAGACTCTTGTTGGCAGAAAGAATGTTTTGTTCTACAAAGTACTGGTTGCATCTTTTTGTTCTGCTTAAGATTTCTCTGTAGAAAAAAGGGCTTTAAACTCAGCCAAACAATTTGGATTTAAATAAAATATAAAATTCACTTGTCTCAATGAAAGAAGGCAGTATTAAGACAATGTGTAATGAGATTATTCACAGCCTCAGAAGTTACATTTCCATCGCTCCCCTCCTCTCCTTTTCAAATAGCATCGGTCACGCACTTGTTTGATATGACTGTTTCCACATTTAGCTGTGTACGATTTAGCCTCTGAATGTTGTCTTGGAAACTAATGAAGGGCTGTCTGCTCACAGGAACCATGGTGGTGCAAGTGGCAGCCACAGACGCGGATGACCCGACATACGGGAACAGCGCCCGGGTCGTCTACAGCATCGTCCACGGACAGCCGTACTTCTCCGTAGAGCCAAAAACAGGTAGGTGCCATTTCATCCCAAAGTTGTGTCGGCGGTTTAAAATGAGCTCTTCACATTGATTTAAAGTAGAGTCAGAAATAAAACATTTCTTTAGGTCTTATTCATCATTCCTCACCATCAGACAACAATTTCCCAGGTCAGTTTTTCAATGTCAGAAGCAAAATGTAGCTTTTAAACCAGAACCGTTTACTGTTTAATGATAGTAGAAAACGATGTAAATATCTGTTTAATTTTACTATGCAACTATATATTATAGAGCTAGATGGCATAGAATTGTATAGGATTAGATACTGCAAGTTTTTCATGAAATGACTAATCCTGATACTTCGTCTGGTGGCTTTAAATGGGTAATATGCAAGTTTTTCAGATTTTTTAATCATTTTCTTGATTTACATGGTTATTGAAAGAATATTCTAGTTGCAACTTCAGAGTGGCGGCCGCTCTGTTGGCACTTAGAAAAAAAATTACCCTGACATACCTGGTACTGCAGTCTGGTTCCAGCATGTTTCCTGCATGTTTTGGATCATGAACACAGCCAATTTGTTTAATTTAGTGATAATCACTCCTGTAGACACTAATGAAGGCTGGGAGATGGTTCAGCTGTTAGATTAAGGTGTTAAAAAGACACACACACACACACACATACACACACACACACACACACACACACACACACACACACACACACACACACACACACACACACACACACACACAGAGCAAAGAGATAGGTTTTGCTTTTGGTTCTACAAACAGACTCTAGTTTCTAAAAGCAAGCCAAGGCACCCAAATGTGCCTTTAAAGCTGCAATGGAAAATCTGCAAAACAGGCTATTGCTAAAGCAGAAATGCTAAAGCTAGCTCCTGCTATTGTTATTTACACTCAAAAATACCATCAAAACTCCAAGCAATTAGCTGATATGTAAAATGAATTGGATTGTAGTTTTACAAAATAATATTTATAGATTTGTTTTAAGGCAAATGCATTTAATTAAAAACTAACCGTTAGCAAATTAATTCTGCCAGAACTCCTCTTTGTTATTTTAAATAAAGGATGTTCAAAAGGTAAGGCTTTCACTACTCTTAACCCCTCATTTAAAAGATCTGAACAACCCTTTTTAACTGATAAATAAAATGTCTGTATTTCATTATTTCCCACTGAAAGTGAGTTTGGCTGTGTTTTGATGTTGGTTGCATTTAGAGGTTGGATAACTCTAACCAGAGTGACAAAGTTTAATGATACATGAACTGGGCATCAGGAAACTGATTTTCTCCTCTAAGGTGCAACACTCTTTATCTGGATGTCATCTAGATACATTTAAAGGATGCTTTTTGTGTACGACAATAACGACAGTTGACACCAATTCCAGAGATAACAACACTTTAGAGCTCTACTTACTCTCTCAGATTTGAGCCAGGCCTGTTGACGCTGCTGGTGGAAACAGAGGAGATATTCTTCTCTTTCGCACATATCAGCGCTGATTCTGACATGGACAAAAAATAATGTCTCTGTATTTTATTTCTATATCTTCTATAAAAATCTATACTTTTAAACTGTAAAACATGTCCTTTGACATTAGATGTATGCACTGCAGAGAAATGCATTGTAGATAAAATTCAGAAATTTAGAAAAGTAAAATTGAAGTAAAGATAATATATTATAAATGAGTTTTCACTTGGTGAAAAAGTAAAGAAACATAACTAGATCATATCCGCTCTCCAATTTTTTGAGAATTAGCTCATGGACCATTTTAATATCTTATTAAAATGTATGACATTCATAGAAGGTTTCCAGATTTACTTGCATTTGCAACTAGATGACGTTCTTTTTATGTTGTTGGACAGTATAGTTTCATTTCTCCTGATTAGATTCACTCTCACCAATGTCTGTTGAAATAATATTTTCTTCATAAAATCATGTATTTTCAGTAAAATTAAAAATTGCGCGCACAAAGGACTCAAGTGACGCATGGATCACTTTAAGGATCAGAAAAAGACACATTTTCAGAATGTTGGCCACTCAATAATGTAATTTTACAGTAGACATTTTGGTTTGCAAGTAAAAGCACAGATTTATTAATGAGGGCCGCATTCCATTCCTACAGGTGTGCATGCTAGTTGGTCCACTAAAGTGTTAACAAGCAGAACTTCTATTAATTGGAATGCAGCTTTGCGTGTCATGAAGAAAGGTGTGTAAAATGCAAAAAGAAAGTTAGCATAAATGTTTGTAATCCTTCTGTATACCATGCAACCTAATATTACTAATTTGGTATTTTTCCAGGTGAACATAAGCAAGGGTCCAGTGAAAGCACATTTTGTCTTCCACAATATCGGTTCTATCCAGATAACCCTGGGTATTTCATAAAGACAGGCATTTCCTGCTGAGTTTGCCCCTCACATTCTACCAACAAATTTGTTTTTGGAGAAATAATCATCATAAAACTGTCCCTTCTGCACTCATGCACCATTAACTTATAGCGACTCTGAAAGGCACTCTACAAGTGCAGGCCATTTATCATGAGCTAAGAATATTCTTTTTCTGTATTTTTATTGTCTTCATTGTGAATGGTCTCCCCTTCTAGAGGTGCAGTGTTTGAATTTCAGTGTTTTGTTAGAATAATGTGGACTGAGATATTATTTTATATGTTAAAGAAAAACAAAAGTAAAAAACAAAATAATAATTTTAAGTAATTTTCTGATTAAAATGATTTGGAGTTGGATTCATTTTTGGATACTTTTCTGGATAATGATTGATTTGAAAACTCAATGTTTTGAGCTTAAAGTGACAATGTGTATTTTCCCTGGCGATAGGGGGCAGTAACATACTTAAAATCATTGTAAGGAAGCTGCATTTTTGTGTTTGAGGAAGACCTTACCAACGGATGGCCATTAGGGTCAAAAATCCCTGGGAGTGCAACCTCCAGGAAAATTACAGTCGCATCAGACTCCCTTTTATCACTGGCAATGAGTAAAGAGGTAAATGTGTAAAACAACATTTTTGAATCAATGGTGAAAGATTTGTAACTGCTTGTTGTAAATCAGTAAATGCATTTTGTCTTCACGGGCTCCTGTTGAAGGAATCATGGTGTCTCCTAGAGACTTAGACCTGCTCCTATGCATTATATATATATATATATATATATATATATATATATATATATATATATATATATATATACATGGTCCTAAAAAAATTAGCATATTGTGATAAAGTTCATAATTTTCTGTAATGTACTGATAAACATTACACTTTCATATATATTAGATTCATTGCACACAGCTGAAGTAGTTCAAGCCTTTTATTGTTTCTAATATTGGTGATTTTGGCATACAGCTCATGAAAACCCAAAATTCCTATCTCAAATAATTAGCATATTTCATCCGACCAATAAAAGAAAAGTGTTTTTAATACAAAAAAAGTCAACCTTCAAATAAGTATGTTCAGTTATGCACTCAATACTTGGTCGGGAATCCTTTTGCAGAAATGACTGCTTCAATGCGGCGTGGCATGGAGGCAATCAGCCTGTGACACTGCTGAGGTGTTATGGAGGCCCAGGATGCTTCGATAGCGGCCTTAAGCTCATCCAGAGTGTTGGGTCTTGCGTCTCTCAACTTTCTCTTCACAATATCCCACAGATTCTCTCTGGGGTTCAGGTCAGGAGAGTTGGCAGGCCAATTGAGCACAGTAATACCAGGGTCAGTAAACCATTTACCAGTGAAAAATGAAATCTTCATCTCCATAAAGCTTTTCAGCAGATGGAAGCATGAAGTGCTCCAAAATCTCCTGATAACTAGCTGCATTGACCCTGCCCTTGATAAAACACAGTGGACCAACACAAGCAGCTGACATGCCGCTTTTTCTGGTTCAAAAGTGGCTTGACCTGGGGAATGCGGCACCTGTAGCTCATTTCCTGCACACGCCTGTTTCTACTCCTGACTCAGTCCACTGCTTCTGCAGGTCCCCCAAGGTCTGGAATCGGTCTGGTCACCTCTTCTCGTTGTGCAGCATTTTCTGCCACACCTTTTCCTTCCCACAGACTTCCCACTGAGGTGCCTTGATACAGCACTCTGGGAACGGCCTATTCGTTCAGAAATTTCTTTCTGTGTCTTACTCTCTTGCTTGAGGGTGTCAATGATGGCCTTCTGGACAGCAGTCAGGTCGGCAGTCATGATTGTGGTTTTGAGTAATGAACCAGGCTGGGAGTTTTTAAAAGCCTCAGGAATGTTTTGCAGGTGTTTAGAGTTAATTTGTTGATTCAGATGATTAGGTTAATCGCTCATTTAGAGAACCTTTTCATGATATGCTAATATTTTGAGATAGGAATTTTGGGTTTTCATGAGCTGAATGCCAAAATCATCAACATTAGAAACAATAAACGTGGCTTGGCTTGAACTACTTCAGTTGTGTGTAATGAATCTAATATATATGACAGTCTAATGTTTATTAGTACATTACAGAAAATAATGAACTTCATCACAATATGCAAATTTTTGGAGGACCTGTGTGTGTATGTATATATATATATGTATATATATATATATATATATATATATATATATATATATATATATACATTATATATATATAGTGTATATATATATAATGTATATATATATATATATATATATATATATATATATATATATATATATATATTAATGTAGCATTATGGTTTATGCTCTTTTATGAAAGAGGAACCATTCTACATATTAATTTGTGATATTAATTTTTATTAAATTAATAACCAAATTGTATAGTTTTAAGAAGACTCAAAGGTTGTTTTCATCGATAAACTGACGATAATATCCGTGTGTCTGTGTTTCAGTTCAATGAAGAAACAAGTTTGAAAGTTAAAAGTTTTAATTCTTCAAATTAAACTAATGATTTTGAAATCACAAGCAGAGGAACATCAATCAACATTGGCAACTTTGTTTTACAATCTTTAACAGTTGAAATTGTAAACTTGCTCAAATAGACCTTGTGTTGGAGGTGCTGAAGAT